CGCGTTTGATATTTCTACGTAACTAAGGAAATGTACATCACGTAAAATTCCGCATATTTTCCCTTTCCCCCCGAAAATACTCACTTTGTACGAAAATTGCAACAATTTTTACTTTATCGCATTACTACGTACGTAGTAAGGAGAAATGTAATGCGGCGGGAATCGGGGATTTTTCGAGATTTTCGGGCACTGGTGTGGAAAATGCTGATAAATCTAGTTTCTACATATAGGAAATCACTTCCTGAAACACATTGCATGATCAGAATCATGGTGGAAATACATGGGCGACTTCCTCCGCGCACCGATTCTTGCTCGTTCTGCCCAACACCAGTTTGCGTCGCGAACCACGTGACCTCAGCGCGGGCACTTTGAAAAGCCAAACCAGACGCTGATCATGTTGCGTGGAGAGCGAGAAATGTAGAGAAACATTTTGAAAGCGGTACAAAGTGACCATTTTCAACGACAACCAACCAAAAATAACACGATGAAGGAGTACAAAATGCAATATCTTACAGAAATTCTTCATAAATCTGTTTCAATGTCTAGTAACGGGGTGATAATTTTGCTGTCTGCATTTAAAATTCCCGCTAATATTGTGACGCGATTGGTGTCGGAAGCTCGTTGGCTGAAGTGGGATACGATGCGAAAGACCCCGACCCCCGTTGTCAGAATGTTTTGGGATTCTTGATTCCGAAAAATCGATTGAGGGAGAAAACGTGTCCGTCCGTAGCCAACAGTGTTTAAGGCTAAATGTTCTGAAATAGTATATTCTTCAACAAGTGCGTAATAATAATAATAATAATAATAATAATTATGCGCCAACAGAAGATTATACTTTTTCTACGACCTCGAAATTTTCAGAAGAGATTTTGAACAGATTTTTGGTTATTTACGTCGGCAAGCACGTGGTTAGCTCCTTAGCAGGGTTACCAGAAAAAAATTTCCAGTGGAGGGCATTTTACTTAAAAAGGACATTTCAATGAAAACAATGTCATTTTACATTTTTGTATTCCACGATGTATAGACAATGTACTCAACAATTCCAAACCATTAATAATATTTAAAAAATATAAGACTTTGAGTCATTAAAAATGAAAGTTTCCGATGGGATAATTTTGCCCTCGCACTCACCTTCATTATCCATCAAACAATAAGCATTAATAAGTATACCACAATAAGCCTATTAGATCTTTTATGCAGGCCATATATTTGAGTAAAAATGTAGATATTCCAAACAGGAAGTCCCTTTAATGAATTAAATTACATTAAAATTATGTCAGTATTATTTTCAACACAAAAAAGAACATTCCGTGTAATTTTTAAAAAAAGAGAGATGGCAGGAGGAGAATGTTAAAAAAGGAAAACATGTCCTCCAAAAGGAGCAACCCTGTCCTTAGCAACCAACCATCGAACGCTGAAAGAGCGCGTCTGTAGAAACGGCTCTTAAAATAATCGAGTCATTAAAATTATTTTCGCGGACTCTCGAGTTTAGATATATGAACTGTTCATAAATCTTTGGATAAATATGTTCCACTTGGCCCTTGTTCTTTTTGTCCCATTTCGTTCATTTTCCCCATGTTCTATTTGTCCCCTTTTTGCATTTGCCCCTTGGCTCATTTTGTCCCGACCTCTATCTTGTCCCATTTGTTCAATTGTCTCAATATTTACTGTGCCACATTTTGTCCAATTTTCTCCCACTACTGTCTCATTTGGTCTATCTGTCGTATCCATCCTCTTGTTCCATTTTGTCGCCTGTTCCCGTGTCCCATTTTGATCCCCTATCCTATTTGTCCCCCTGTCGCATTATTCGATTATGACTCGTTTGTCCCCTTGTCCCACTTTGTCTCGTCTAACTTGCTCCCTTTGTCCCATTTTGACCGATTGTCCTATTATTATAATTGTGTAATTTGTCCCCATTACCTCATTTAGTTCTTTTTCTGCACTTTCCCAATTTTGTCCCCTTGCCCTCTTCGTCCTCCTTCGCTTTGCCCTACTTGTCCCCCTTTGTTCTTTTGGTCCTGCCGCGCACTGCGATTGTTATTTTAAAACGGTATTTGCAAAGAGAATGCCATTCTGCCCGAGGATTCAGAAAATTCTAGAAATGCGATTGGTCGACAGCCCGTGGATTCCAGTTGGGAATCCACGGCCTGTCGACCAATGGGGTGTGCAATCGACGTCATTCGTCGATTAAATATACAGCATGAATACATATATTATTAAATGTTTTTCGAAAAATACAGTAGATCGCAGCACTGTGATAGAGGAATGTACATTACCGAAAACGTCTAAACAAATGATCCGATTTTCTGTCAGCTGCGTAGAATTAGTTAAGCCCCCCCCCCCCAATACAATATTAATTTTTCAAATTGATTTTGATAGTTCCCAGGAGAAATTTAAAAAAAAATGGGCTTATAGCGCGACGGAGACATGCTTCCTGAATCCAACTCGTCCAAATCGGATGAATAGGTGCGTCATAGAGTGAAATTTAGTTAAAGATATCCCCCATGTCGCAACGCTACCGCCGCCGCCACTATAGCGCGTGGGCACGCCGACTGCTCTGGGCGGCTGCAGGAGGAACGGAAGAATTGGAAGCGGAAGAAGGTGCGTGGCAGATAAGCAGACAGTTCTGTGGCCCGACTGAGATTCATCAGATAATGCGTTCGCTATTTTCTGCATATCAGAGAGTATATATCAACATTTGTTTTACTTTCTCGTATACATACGTATACACGGAGGCCCATTCACAATGCACGCATGAGCGTGGCGTTAACATAAAAGTTAACTACGTCCATAACCGGACTCATTCACATTGCGTATGCATAAGCATAACACGTAAGACGTTTATTTAAAACTTTCTGTGCTTATCCGTAAGTAAGACATAAGAAATAAACCAATCAAAGTACGATAACTCAAAATCGAGAATCGAAAGAAGAATAAAAGCGTATGTGTCACAAATAACTGTCAGATGAGAAGTGTTCCGGTCCGGATACCATTAAGATATTTTCATTTTTGAGCGTACACTAGATGAAGCCTTTGTGACATTTTCCAAGTTTTCTAGAAAATGGCCGATATTTTTCACTTGAAACGTTTTTTCTCGGACAGAAGAACATGCATTTGTAAGTAGGGTATAGTTCCGATCTTGAATAAAATATCTGGTATTGCAAAAAAATTTAATATTAAGTACTTGAGGATAATTTAG